GAAAAGCTTTGGATCCAGACGGAAGTTTCAACCAAATGGAATAATAAATAGTAAATGATTAGTGGTTGCTTCTTTTTCTTCTTCTTCTTCTTTTACCCATTTCTGTCAGCAATATTACTGTATAAAGGAATTGGATCGTCTAAACAAGTCTTGAAAAACTACACATGCTATGTTCCTCTTCTTACATTTATGTCTTTAATTATGTATAAATACCGTTTTTTTAACGGTATAGATTGTAGATTGTAAATTAAATAATTTTAATCCATCTACTATAGACTGAAAAAATTTCAAACTACAAAAGAAATCGAATTTGTTGTGCTCTCTTCGATATCAAACCAGTCACCTCGGACCAGATCGGACCATCTCGTTTTGAACCAATTCATTTTCAACCCAGTTCGTTAAATCCGTTTTTATTCAGGTCGAAACAGTTCGGAACACATCGTTCGAATTCGCGATGCAAAAAACTTAAAAATAAAATAAAATATTAAATATAATAAAAATACTATAAAAATAATTAAAAATAATAATTATTATATTTTAAAATAATACAAATATTTATATTTGATAAATCCTTTTTAAAATTATTTAAAATTTTAAAAATAAAAATAATTTTTTTCTGAATCGTGAATGAATGTGTGGATTCACTGAACTGGATCGCCATGAGCCGAGTTTATGGCGAACCAGTTCGATTCTCTTTTTTTTTCGAACTCAAAATGTTTTAACCCAAATCAAAAAAAAAGATTACCTCATGAGTCACCACCAGTCAACTCATTTTAACATCCCTACTCTCTTCTCACACAGATTTAATAGTTGCGTGACGGTTACGCGCCTTAATGGGCGTGTGGTGTACAAAAATAAATATGAAAATATTATAAAAACATGACGACGTTTATAGTCAGACACTTTGACCGACATTGATATGTGATTCGTGATGATTTTCAGTTTTGTCCGATAGCTCAATTACAAATTGTATAATAATATTTACAAAATGGGTAAAACACATTAAAATTTTTGAAATTTTACACATTAAATTTTTTGAACTTGTAAAATGGTGCACACTACACATTGGTAAAAGACCGGTATATGCTTCAATTCAGAAATTTAGTTTCTAACTGATCCAAACCGAAATCAAACTGAAGAAAATAATATTAGGTTCAAATTTAAAATAATTCATATAAAACCAAATAAACCGAATACTAATTTAAAACACGAATTATTCATCTTATAAACAAATGTACAAGTGAATATCAAATTCTAGTTCTAATTTGATATACCGTTTTTCAAAAAATAAAATCGTGAATCAAACTCGATCGAGCTAAAATCCAAAACATCCACCTCTAAAACAAATCATATAAACCAGAAGACGGTTCTTCAACTTATAACCTACAACTGATGCGGACAAAGAGGCGCTCAAGATCCACAACAGATGCGGACAAAGGCAACAGCGGATGTATCACAGACAGAAACGTTTTCACGTAAAAGGTTTATATTATAAATAAACTGGGATCCAAGGAACACGAAATCGACAAAAAGAAACAGCAACAAAATCAGAGAACATTTCACTTCTTCGACTTCTTTGATTGCCTGCAAACCCCAGAATTTTTTTTTTAAAATGGTTACAACTCAGAAACAGAATCGAAATCAGTATCGACCAGTATCAAATGTTACTCACTCTGTTGTTTGGGTAGCAGCAGTAGCAGCAGCTGCAGCCTTGCCTCCTCCAGGACCCTATACACGAAAATCATAGAAGATTTCCCAAAATAAAGGGTTGATGTCATTTATAAGGATATTTGCTCGTCAAAGCTCTATCAATAAATCTTAGATAGATTCAGGGCGAATGGTTTGTCCTAACCTGAGCAAGGCGTTCTTCCCGCCTAGCCATCTTCCTCTCTCGGCTCGCCTTGTTCTTTGCCCTCTTGGCCTCAAACTGGTCAGACAAAGTCTTCTCTCTCGCCTTCTCGGCCTTAGATTTGTGGATACTCTCCATCAGAACACGCTTGTTCTTGAAGACATTACCCTTCACCTTCATGTACATGTCATGATACATGTGCTTGTCAATCTTCTTTGCCTCTCTGTACTTTCGGAGCAAACGTCTCAGAACACGCATCCTCCTCATCCACAAAATCTTGGTTGGGAGCCTCGCCTCCCTCGTACCCTTTCGTTTACCTACACAAACGAGGTTAAAGCTCTCCATCTAGCCAAGAAACTAGAGTATAACATCCACCTAGTTTCAGGGTCTAATATGACTAAATAACTCGGAACAAAGCAGGTAAGCGTTACCGTATCCCGAGTGACGCCCTTTTCTTTTGGCCTCCTTCATGCGGCGTGCCCGAGATCGAGAGTGGATCTTTGTCGGCTTCCTGATGATGAAACCATCCTTGACAAGTTTCCTGATGTTCTGGCCTGCAACATAACGGTAATGAAATCCATTTCTGACAGACAGTGACGGGAACAAAAGATAACATCTAAAATTATCATAATTGAAAATCATTCTCCAAACAAGGACCATTACCTACATCTTAAATCGAGCCACAAAAACAATGAAACCAATTCAGCATTTATTCAAATCTATATACATACATGACACCGAATCATCCAAAACCCGATAAGCCTAGCGCCAAGCAGGTACCGACGTATACGCCAAGTAGCAATAACTACTATGCAGAGCTTAAGCTCAAGTTTAAGATAGCGAAAGTGTATCAGAATAAATTTCAAAATGCATCCCAGCTATATCAACACAAAGAAGATTCCTAACAGACATCAGATTCATCAGACAAACAATAACCAGAACGATCATCGCAAGGAGGAAGAAAAAGGATCAAAATCGAACAGAAATGCGTAGAACGAGTTGTAGAGAAGAACGTACGGGAATTCGCCATGGAGATTTCGCTGCCCTCATTAGGATCGAGCCAAACTTTCCCTTTCCCACACTTGAGCACGCTTGCGGCGAGACGCTTCTGGAGCTTCAGCGACACCATCTTTGCTCCTTCCTTTCAACTAGTGAGCAGCCGCCAAGGGAAAACGACGACCAAAAAGGCTACAGATTATATATGCCTTGCAGGTTTCGGCCCTAGGGTTTCTGATTCTCCACGCCGCAAACTTGGGCCCTGATGGGGCTTATTATTGGGCCATAAAAATTTACATTGCGTTTTTAATTGGCCTTAACGATTTTTAGCAGCAAACGTGGATAAGTAGCCCATCAGTAGATTATTTTTAAAAGAAAATCTCGAAACAATTATTAAATTAATACTAAATTTTCAAAATTTTAAAATAAATATAAATTATAGATTTCGATTTTTCTTCAAATTATCTGCAGATAAAATTTATATAGATATATAAAAATAACTATAATTAAATAAAAAAATTATAATAATATAAAAATAAAACATAAAAAATTAAAAATTAAAATATATACATAAAAAATAATTATAATAATATAAAACAAATAAAAAATAAAAAATATATTTATATATATACACAAACATAAATATATATAACATGTATATATATAAATATATACATATATATATATATGCATACATATATACCATATATATACATATATATGTCTCGAGCGCCGTCAAAGCGAAGGCGCCCACAGAACAGATCCCGCCGCCGCAGTATCTTCCCTACGCCGCGTCCCCTGCCGCAGTTTACTCAAAAAACATCCTTTGAAAGCTTACAACTGTGTGAATATATATATATATTAATATTTCATTTACAAATTTCTTATAAATGTGGAATTCAATTTGTATTGGTAATAGATGAAAAGATGAAACAGGAAGTTACCCCTCAATAATCATAAATTATTCCAAATAAATACACGATGACGCGAATTTCAAATTTTTCTATTAAAATACACAAACTTTTCTTCCCTTCTAATTAAAATTTTTTACTTGAATATTATAAATAGTTCAAAAAAATACACGTCATTTGAAGTTTTTTTTTTTACTTGTAATGATTTGAAAGCAATTCTAAAATTTTGTCCATTTTTCCGGAGTCATTGTGATTTAACAAGAATTCAAAGTGAAAAAATTGGCATATCTTCCAAAGACCCGAGAAAATAGGTAACAAAACCCTGAATTTGTATCTTTTTTTAATTAAATATTAATAACAATTACATGACCGATGGACAAAATTTACACGCCCAAAATGCAATATTTAATAACTTGAAAAAGAAATGTAACCAAATCAAATGAAAAGCCACAATTAAGCGGAGCCCGAATCGACGGGGGACGCGGCCACGGCGGCGGCTTCCTCGAAGTTCCAGAGATTTCCGACCACACTCACTTGCGTGGCGGCGTACGTGGCCATCGATGATTGGCCATCAAGGTACGGAATCTGATAGAATTTCATGTAGTCCTCGAACGCCATCAGCTCCTCCGACAACCTCTGCACTTCGTTTTCCTCCTCTTTAGCCTTCGTCTCGACGCCATTGATCGCCGTCGGTGAATACGAGTTCGCAGGCTCCAATACCGAACTCGACCCAGAATTCTCCTCCGCGACAGAATCAGAACGCACCGCGCCAAGATTCTGGATCGGGTTGGATCCGTCGGGGATAGGGAAGGGGTTCAGACCGTTACCGAACCCGAAACTGGTGTTACTCAAATCGGCAAATGGAGGGGTAAGGTGCGGGTTTGGGGATGGATTCAGATGACAAGGAGGGTCGTTTTTCCGGCGGTTCATGGTGGCGGGGAGAGAGAAATGGATGTCTTCGTTGGGGAAATTGACTTTGGCCTTCTTTCCACGGATTTTAATGGCTTCCCGGTCGTAGGCTCGAGCAGCTTCTTCGGCGGTGTTGAAGGTTCCGAGCCAAACACGCACACCTTTTCTCGGGTCTCGAATCTCTGCGGCCCATTTCCCCCATGGCCTCTGCCTTATCCCTCTGTACAAATTCTTCCTCTGCCTCTTTGGTCTCCCCGCCGCCTCCTCTCCTTCACCTGTTCGTCCGTACATTCCCCCAATCAGTAACACCCAAACCAGAAACAAAATTGTCCGAAAACGACGAGACATACGAATACCTGAGACCGGTCGATTCCTCTTGAGGGAGAAGGAGCCACCGCGTCCGAGTTGACTCGGATCGGACTCGAACTCGAACTCGCCGCCGACTATCTTAGCAGAGGAGGAATTCGGCCAGATGTCGGCGGCGGAGACATCTCGGCCGCGGTTGCGGATGATGAAATCAGAGATGATGGCACCTCCACACATTCTGAAAAGGGCGATGGGATTCTTAACCGAGTAGGAGGTTTTCTCTTATAACTCAGCAAAAGGGTTTCGAAGGGTTTAGGGTTTTACGCGAAGACGAAGACGATGAAACTCTAGAATAAAAAGAGACGACTGAGTCCTGGGAGGGAGGGAGAGAGAGGACCCATGGAGATTTCGCTGCCCTCATTAGGATCGAGCCAAACTTTCCCTTTCCCACACTTGAGCACGCTTGCGGCGAGACGCTTCTGGAGCTTCAGCGACACCCTGTTAAAAATAAAATCCATAACGTTCTTTTATTTGTTTGGAATGTTGGTTACTTATACAAAATTATTATTGATGCTTTTCGCATGTGACAATCTCGAGAACACGAACGGTGTTGGACAAATAATGAAAAATAAAGAGAGAATTCTATATAAACCACATTAAAAAAGAGTTCAAGTAAATATATAAATGCTTATTTTCGTATGTAAATATATAAAAAATTTACAATTTGCATATAAATAAATTGATTTTTACACACGGAAGGTGCATTTTTACTGAGTGCCAGCATGATATCAACACAGTGATTATGAATATTTTAAAATTTTACATTGACACTGCAATAGCTGCTTGAGCCTACGCCCACTTGGCAAATCAAAGAAATAGAATCGCACATCGAATATGGCAACTCGTGGGCGACAAAATTAACATTTGATAAAAATTTTGATGGACCGACTTTAGAATACGGCATAACGTTTTGTAGAATTTAAACATACATGTCCATAATTTATGAACATTATTATGCACACACATTTACTAGCAAAACAAAATTTTATTGTCCATTCAATACGCGAATGTGATTTTGACCACCTATGAGTTAGACGTCGTGGCGTCTCTCTTGCAGAGTGCTACACATCGCGCCGTTTCTCCCTCCTAAGAAAAATATTTTTTTTTTGTCTTATTCAAGCGATTTTCTTCGTCCAAAATAATTTTAAGGCTGTAACTAACAAGACTTGCAAGGTTTTTGAATGGCATAAAAAGCTATTTTGACTCATCGATATTCCAAAGTAAATAAAAATGGCACATACATGGACATGAGAGAACCGCATCACATTGGTGTCCTATTATTACGTGTGCAAAGCCTAAGATTAGAGCCACCCCCAATTGAGATTGTATTCATGATTATATAAATCATGACATGATCCATATGGGCCCAACGTATTTAGCCATACGTATATATACATAAGTTAACAAAAAATACGTATATATATATACATAAATGCTTCATCGAAAACTTAGTAGTGACGAACATGTGTTTATGGATCGTGCATTATATATCCTCTGGATTCGTCATCCATGATAATAATAAAAAGACAATAATTACATTTATAAATTCCGAAAATGTACTTCTAGAAGAAAAAAAAATATACCCACAAACTCCTTTCATCACCCGATCAAAGAGAACTCGAACCAAAAGAAAAGACTGCTTCTCTCTCTCTCGTCGTCGTTACCACAGATGAATAATACCATACTACCCTCCGGTTTACACTCCCCCGGTTAAGAAACCCACTCTACCATGCCGGTTTACATGCCTCCAGTCCGTTAAAGATAATAGAATCGATCACTTGAGATGTGCTGGCCTACGGTGTCTACGTTACGAGTTACATTTGATCCGTATTGGGGTATAATTGGCGAGGCACCTGAATCATATTTGGTATTGACCAGCCATGTACGCACGACCAAGACTCCCAAATCCGGTCATATCAAGCCAATATCACCATTGCATCATGGTGATTGGGTCACCTAGCCGTTGCATTAATGACAAGTAGCAGAACTAATAGTGCAAGAAGAATGATTATTGTACCTTATTTGTTTCTAACAATATTTTTTTTTCTTATTATGTACATATTTTATGATTTGTTTTCCATATATTCTTTCTTAGTAGCAGTTTGTTTTCTACTTATTTAAAGTCATGTATTGTCTCTTTATCACTTGCAAGAATCAATGGAAGTTTATTCATCATTTACACTCTTAATCTCAGATTCATCTACTTAGAACCGGGTTCATTCTTCTTTTTGTTCAAATATCAAATCCCATTGGTTATCTAATCAAACCAAGAGAGTTCTCAGCCTTATTTTCCAATCAATCATCACTATTACATTCTCTTCATCTTCAATCTATCACAAACAAACACGATAAAAACTAACATGGTATCAAAGTTTGGTTGGAGACCATTGTGATTGATTTCTTCTCATATTTATCTATTTTTTGACTGTGAAATCTAGGAACAAAACCACAAAACCTTCTATCCTCTTCCAATCCACATTTATTTTCGGGTTTACTTGATCAAGACACAACCTAAACATCTTACGACAATCTGTCGGGAATCGAATTCTCCTTTTTGTCAACTTCTTTTCATGAGCCTTCAACCTCTTCATGTTCCTGACGAACTCCTCCTGCGTCCATAAGCAGAGAATTGCACCCGCCTCAAATTCTTTTCACAATAATAGATCCCGAAAGATCAATACCGCTATGATGATACCATGTGATTCCACACTCAATACTTAATTTTTCTTTGATTCACACACTCAAAACCACATCAAAACAGAGTTGTATTTCTTTGTTTCTTAACAACAAACATGCCGCTTTCAGACTTTGAACCAAAAAATAAACCAACAATCTTATGTCTCTCCCATCTTCTTCACCGGTTCTGATTATGCTCCTCCTCAACCCCAATTGCTAGAGTTTCTCACTACAAAAAACATGCCATTAGCAACGAAATTAGCAACGAAATGCATTTCGTTGCAAACCTTGTTTTGCAACGAAATTTGTAGGTTTGCAACGAAAAATTTTCGTTGTTAAAAGACTGTTTTTTTGTAGTGTCTTTCTCCCTTCTTCATTGATTATATATGACTCTTTCGATAACGTTTCTGTCTCTTTTGTTCCTTTGAATATATTTTTTGTGTCGTTGGATGTGTTGAAGTAGGAAAATGAATATATGATTTGAGGAAAATCTAGATTTTGGAGGAACACAATATTATGTTAAATATTGTGAATCATATTTATTTCCGTTATATCTATATTTCCTTTTATTTCATTTGTTAATTTTCCTATAAATATGTGAATTATTTTCATTGTAATGAAACAAGAAGAAGAAGAGATGTAGTAATAAAAGTAATTTCGTTCCTTTCTATTTGTCTTATTTTATTTCCGCATTTTATTTTTCTACATGGTATCAGAGTCTGGTTCGATCTGCTCTATATCTTCTTCTTTTTTTTGTCAATCTCTTCTTTTTTTTAGTTTTAGATGTTCATATATTATCCAAATCGTTCAAATAGGAGTAAAAATCCCAAAATCAAACGAGGTGCTGTGACAAAAAGAAGTCAAACCTAAAAACTCTAAGATCAAGCGAGGTGCTATGACAAAAAGAGTTAAAGGTAGAACTTCAAAGTCAAGCGAAGTGATTTGAACATGGGTAATATTCTCTAAAAGAACTAAATTTGGTGTTTATGGATTTTTCAAAAGACAATGAAAATGTCTATGAATTTTTATCGCATTATCTTTTCAAGATTGATTTTTGCATTCTTTCAAAATCAATCTTGAGGGAGAATGTTGAAGTAGAAAAATGAATATGTGATTGGAAGAAAATCTAGATTTTGGAGGAACACAATATTATGTTAAATATTGTGAATCATATTTATTTCCGTTATATCTATATTTCCTTTTATTTCATTTGTTAATTTTCCTATAAATATGTGAGTTATTTTCATTGTAATGAAACAAGAAGAAGAAGAGATGTAGTAATAAAAGTAATTTCGTTCCTTTCTATTTGTCTTATTTTATTTCCGCATTTTATTTTTCTACGGGATGTTCTTTTACGATTGTTTCCAAAATTTGGCGGTTTGCCATTTTCACAATTTCTTAAACAAAATAAAGAGATAAAAAAAATTGATATTTATATCATTGATGTAAATCTTCTACATATATGTATACTATAATTG